TGATCCCGGATTTTCTTTTTGGCTTTCCACTCACACAGTTATGAAGTATAGAGGAAGATTAGTCAGAAGAAGAGAATCAAGTATAAAGATTAGTAGCAGAAATCAGACTGCACTTCGAAGAAGTAAGAAGGTTCAAGGAGTTGAGGTGGCTGAAAGGCAGAAGGAAAGTTCTGACCTAATAAAAACAACAGCAGTAAAACCTCCAGAAGGGGCAGTAACTTTCATTCAATGAGCTGCTGCAGCTAGAAAAAATGGACAAGTTTTCTGACCCAAGATAAATCTGAAGACATGACTGTGTGTCTAAAAGCCTGCCCATTTTTTTCCCCTGACTGTATCAGTCAGTCAAAAGATGCTCCTACCTCTGCAAAACCTTGCTTCTCTTATAACTTAATGCCACTTGCTCACAGCCCAAGGCAGTAGGATGCACCTCCGTGAACACAAACTGTTCTGTATTAAGTGAAAACAAAGGGAGGTCTGGATGAAAAGAACATCTACATATACTAAATTAAACACTCCTGTATTCTGAAGAGGACTTCACCCAAAAGAACCAAAATGTCCCAGATTCCTCCTTAGGGCAGAAGGGGACAGGTAGGAAGAAGAGAGAAGCCCTGTTTTGGAAGTAAAGGTTTTAAAGATTCCTGGAAAGGTCAGGTTCTCTCTTACTTTGCTAGCCAGGGACACACTGAACTCTCATGATATCTGCATCTGCACCATGCACTAACTGGTAGAAAAACACACACGTGCTTGGGCAACACAGAACTATACTGGGGAGAGAGGGGCCTCTGTATGTTTTATACAGAGAGATTCTGACTCTTAAGTTGCAAAAGTACTTCAATCTCAAATTGTCAACAGATTGAAAAATCAGTCTTAGAACACAGTTTGCACTGTAAACTCACATTATTGCTGCAGCGTAGAAAAATATTTTTGTAGAGTATTAGCTTGAATTCTCTTCTAATCTAAGGAGAAAGACCCTTGCTAACTTGAGATTATCTTTCTTCATACTACTCCATCATATTGAATATCAATACTGTATTTGGATGACACTAATCCATTTCTACTGAACAGTCTAAGCTACAGCTATGATGGTAGACTTCAAATTTCCATAACACTTGTGCTCAAAATGTCAATTTAAGCCTGAAACTGAATGAATCTGAGAAACAACATTCCTTCGTGGACTTATTCTTATTTGGTCTCAAACAACTTCTCTGGTTCTTTAAAAAACCCAGAACCTCTTTCATTCTGCTATAGCACCAGATACCATTCTTCACCTAGTAGGTAACAGCAAACATAGCAGATTACACCACCATAGCAATACTGAGCAGAAAAATAACATACCTATGTGTGCCAGAAATATCTAGGGAGCAGACCAGAACACCAGGTACATCCAACAAAAGTCCATCCATAGAATTTCAGATGCAACCTATAGGTACTACAGCTTTCAAAGAAAATTCTTAATTGCCACCTACACTACTTTTGCAGACCAAGAAAGTTCCCGGAAAACAAAAGCAAACCATAGACCTTGCTTTTGTATATATTATTGGCCTGGATACAAGTTCCAAGAGGTTAAACCTCTAGACGGGGTCTAAACATGCACCTTCACCGGGCATCTTGACTGCATGAAACTAACTCCAAGTAGGACCTAAGAAAGCCTCAACTTTGAAAAATACCCATGTTGTGTTAAGCACCACAAAGCAACAAGGAGAATGCCCTTGAGTCAAAAAGCTTATGGCAGAGACCTACTATATTCTCAGTAATTCTCTCTCACACACGCTGAAAACTAGATGCCTGGAAGTTCTTTCATGCAAAAAAAGACCCCTTAACTTCCGTCTGCTGAGTCCTCTGGTCATAACTATTTGTCATGGTTTGTGCTGGGCTGGCCACTAAATGAATGACAGATGCTCTCTTTACCTCTCTCTCCCTTCCCAAAAGAGAACGGAGAGAAAATAAGGGAGAGACTTATGGGCTGAAAAGGAAACTAGAACTACTTTAATGAAATATTAATAATAAAAATAAAAGATAAAAATATAAAAAAAGAAAATAATGATATACAATATACACAAAACCAGTATCGAGCTCCTGGGATGATCATCACATCACCAGCAGGCACTGGGGAAGTCCCAGACTGTACCCAGCAATGGACAGGAGCTGAATTCTGGATCTGGATTCAGGAATGCATGGATCGGGATCAAAGGCACGCTCTTCCACTTGCAACCCTCCAACAGGGCACACAGCCACGTTAGCTGGCCTTGGTTGTTAAAGCAATAAGTACAAGCAGGAGCCTCTCTGCATACCATTGCTTGGTATTAACTATAAGCATCAAGCTGGAAGTGGACACTGTCTGAAGCATGCATCATTAATTTCAGAGTTCAGTTAGTTAGAAGCAGCTTAGCTGAAAAGTAAAATTACTGAAAAGAAAATCGGTTCTGTTCTACCTCAAACCAGGACACTAGTCCACAAAAACAACCTTATAACTACTGTAATCATCAGTAATTCTTTTGCTTAGACGACAAAGGTTTGTGCTTTTGAGGCTGAAACTTTTAAAGTTCAAGTCCTGCTAGCAACTACCTGTAGCACTCTAGTTATGTACATAGTTATAACGAAAAAAAAAAGACAACAACATTTGCACTTTCACCTCTTCAGTCATTCCTTTTCTGCTTGTTAGACAACCAGAATTCAGAAGTGCTTTTTCTCCCATGCTTTTCAATTCTAAGATACAGAAGCTCCCAAAGGATGCACATGCCCACTGTCATGCCATCAGACGTTATACCAATACAGCTTGGTAAGGAAGACCAATTCTCCGTATTACCACCACTTGAATCTTTCATGATTCAACAGGCTCAAAAAATGCTGAAAGCATCTTTAGAAGTAATACACTGAGAGGATCAGCATCATTACCAACACCATGCTGGATAATCCATTTTGTTAATTTAGCATTTGTATAGTAAGAAAAGTACAGATCATGAAAGGAAGGATCATGTAACCCAACTGTAATAAACTGGTTTAAATGCTATTCTACGCCCAGCTGATGTCAGGAAGAGTTGTGTGAAGAATGACTGCAGAATGAGAAACTACATTGCAAGCACAGCTCTCCAAAACTAATTGTGCCCTAATGGAAAATGCACATTTGATCTTCTGGCAGGCTCCCCTCCATTCTTTATAATTGACTTGGTTTCACTTGTGATCCTTTAGAATAACAAAAAAAATTTAATATAAATAGAAGAAAGTCTCAGTTTCTTTCTTGATTTTTCTTCTATTTGCAAAAAGATCTCTGTTGTGGTCTAAGAGACCATCAAGTGCACACAGATGATTCTTAAGGCTATTCATAGAATCATAGAACCATTATGGCTGGAAAAGACCTTTAAGATCATTAAGTCCAACCCTCACATAACTCTACCAGGCGCACTTCTAAACCATGTCCCAGAGCACCACATCTAGATGGCTTTTAAATACATCCAAGGATGGCAATTCAACCACTTCCCTGGGCAGCCTGTTCCAGTCTTCAATTTCAGAGTAGAAGTTTTTCCTAATGTCTAACCGAAACGTCCCCTGGTACAACTTGACGCCATTTCCCTCTCGTAGACCTTCAGGCAGATGAGTTGCGTAGCTAGCTTAGATGCTTATCTCCATGTCCTACAGTACATCTTTGCACTCTTACTCCACTGCATATTAATTTAACCCCCCGTAATACAAACATTTTCACTGCAGGAATTCTGATGTGACCCTAATATTCAGTGCTATAAGGCTTTTGGACTTATTCTTGAGACTTTTACCATGATGCAATGCAAAACTGAAGAGACCAACTCCCAGGGATTTCATTTTTCCTAATTTTCCCCCCTTGTTAACATAAGGTATTAAAAAGCTTTGCTAGATTTACTGACTATTCTAAATCACTTAACCAACACACACAAAGAAACTGTGATATGGAAACGCAAACCAGGGATTAGTAGGTAAAAAAAAGAATTAAAGTGGTGCATAACTCATTGGAGAATCTATCACAAATACAGCGACTCACAGTACCTGGCCTGGCATGTACCTACCAGGTACATGGCCTGCTATCAATTAAGTCGAATTAGTTTGTCCAGAGTTTCTACCACCACAGAGCATTTTGTCCAATAGAGTCTGACCTAGACATGGGCTTAGCTAGGAATGCAACCCTTCCATGCGTACACAATACTTTCTAATCAGAAGGAAACCTGAACCGTTAAGATATGATGAGAATATACTGCACTCTATCAGACATTTCTCAAGCAGCAAAAAGAAAGTGTTAACTACTCAGGCTTCAATTGCTTAAGACTCAATATTTAACTTATTCCAGACCCAAGAGGCTAATTAAATGATTGTTACCCTGTCCCGAGTCAAACATTCATCATTCCTTGACATGTGGAAGACAGCTGAATTGTATGGCAATGTATTTGTTTCAATGCTAGCAGTTTCCTCTCTGATCATGGAGTTTATAATATTGTCTCCATGTACTGCAATAGTGTCTCCTTGTGAAAAGCTAAATAACAAGAAATCTTAAGAAGTAACTCCAAGAAAAAACAACCCCCCTCAACAGCACACCTAAACGAGTACAAATACAGTATCTATGAGAGTACCAGTTAAGAAAGTGACTGCCAGCCCTCGTTGTCACATCATGTAATAGCATTACAAAAGTGTCACACGTAAACTGGAACACTTTCTCATTTGTAGGTGACTTTTGTGCTTATCAATTTATAGCATGACAGGAATTAGATATATTGCAATTTGCTATAAACACACACCATTATTACAAAAAAACCCCACACCTGTAGGCAATCTCAAAAAAACCCAGACCAATAGCTATCACAGTGCAGTGCTTGAATACCTTCTTCTCCTTATCCACATCAAAAGTTACCGGGTCCCCAGCTTAGGTAAAGGCACCCAGTTTAGACTGAAAGCCACCAAGCCACTGAACAAACTGAACTCCTTGAGTTTTTACTTTCAGCCCACATGTCTTTATTGTTCAGTTCATACACACTCACCTTAGTCCATGGATGTGCCTTAATCTGAGGGAATTTGAATTCAGTATAGTTTGGATTCATTTCTCTAATTTGCTCCCTTGTGGGCGTTCCCAGAACCTAGAAAGGAGAGAAGAAAAAAAAAAAGGCAAACTGTTTAGATACACTTCATATGGTAATGAAGAGCGCAGCACAACCTATCATATGTTGAGACAATGTAACTGAAGTCATTCTGTGTAACTAGTAAGTTAATATACTGTTGCGAACAAAACAACAAAACCTTTGCAGAACTATTTACACTGAAAGGGACCTCCCTCTCCTGGGAGCTTCTGATCCAACCTCCTTACTCAACCAGGGTCAGCCAGAACAGGCTGCCCAAGACCATGTCCAGCTAGGTTTTTAGCATCTCCACAGAAGCAGACTTCACTGCCTCCCTGGGCTACTTGCTCCAGTCTTTGACTACCCTTACAGTAAAAAAAGTGTTTTCTTGCATTGAAATGAAGTTTTATGTATTTTACTTTGTGCCACTGCCTCTTGTCCAGTCAGTGGGCACCACTGAGAAAAGCCTGGCCACTACTTCTTCATTCCCTCCCACATGGTATTTATACACATTGATGAGACCTGCCCGAACCTTCTCTGCTTCAGCTTAACAGTCACAGTTCTTGCAACCTCTCCTCATACAACAGATGCTCCAGTCCTTAATCATCTTTGTGGCCCTTGCTCCAACTGCTGTAGTCTCTTACTGGCAATTCAGTTCACGTTCCAAGCCCAGCACCAAAAATTTAATTCTCTTCTACATTTTTTCACAAAATTCAAGCATCTTTCTCAAACTTAGTGATATTTTGATGGGGAAGAGAGTTCACTCTGATTAGACTGTTATAAAACAGTACGGCTGAACCCACTCACGGATTGCAGGTCACGTCATATGACCGATTAAGGATCAGACCAGTAGCCCAGACTGCATTTTATGATTAATGAACAGCAGCCCTCTGACAAGCTTAAAAGATCAGTCAGTTACTGCTGAGGGGAGCCAAACAGGTTTCCCTACTCTCCCCCTCCCCTCAAACTGTGTGGGTTTTGGTGGTGATTCCCTACCCCAATATTTCCACAAGGAAGATAAACTTGGTTTAAGCCTAATCTGGAAGCATCTAATATGCCTACCACCCCAGTTTACTTTTACAAATTTATCTCATTCCCAGAATTTGCACAATGTTATTTATACATGCAAATTAGTAGTTGCATGAGAAAGAGCACACAGTAACACATCTCTTTGTAGGAGTGGATACATCTTGAAAGGATTCTGGGCTGTAGTGACCATGAAATGGTCGAGTTCGAGATCCCCGAGGCAGTGAGGAAGGTGCGCAGCAAACTGACCACCCTGGACTTTGGGAGAGCTGACTTTGGCCTCTTGAAGAATCTGCTTGGTATGGTGCCGTGGGATGAAGAGCTGGAGGGAATAGGGGCCCAAGAGAGTTGGCTGATATTCAAGGACCACCTCCTCCAAGCTCAGGAGCGATGCATCCCTACAAAGAGGAAGGAAGGCAGAAAAGCCAGGAGGCCTGCATGGATGAACAAGGAGCTCCTGGACATGACCAAAAGAAAAAAGGAGGCCTATAGGTAGTGGAAACAGGAGTGGGTAGCCTGGGAGGAATACAGAAGAATTGTTGAAGCAGCCAGGGATCAGGTTAGACAAGCTAAAGCCCAGACAGAACTGAATCTGGCCAGGGACATTAAGACTAACAAAAAATTCCTTCTTTAAGTATGTCAGTGAGAAAAGAAAGACTAGGGAAAATGTGGGCCCTCTCCGGAAGGAAATGCAAGAACTGGTTACCCGGGACAGAGACAGAGCTGAGGTCCTCAACGACTTTTTTGCCTCAGCCTTCAGTGGCAAGGACTGCAGCCGCACTGCCCACGATGCAGAATGCAAAGGTGAGGACTGGGAAAATGAAGAACTGCGCACTGTAGGTGAAGATAAAGTGCAAGACCACCTGAGGAACCTGAAGATGCACAAGTCCATGGGACCTGGTGAGATACATCCGTGGGACCTGACGGAACTGGCAGATGAAGTCACTAAGCCACTAGCCATCATATTTGAGAAGTTGTGGCAGGCTGCTGAGGTTCCTGCCGACTGGAAAAGGGCAAACATAACCCGTATTTTCAAAAAGGGAAATAAGGAAGACCCAGAGAACTACAGGCCAGTCAGTCTCACCTCTGTGCCTGGCAAAATCATGGAGCAGATCCTCCTGGAAACTCTGCTGAGGCACACAGAAAACAAGGAGGCGACTGGTGACAGCCAGCATGGCTTCACCAAGGGCAAGTCATGCCTGACCAATTTGGTGGCCTTCTATGAAGGGTTTACAATGGCAGTGGACAAGGGATGATCAACTGATGTCATCTACCTGGACTTGTGCGAAGCATTTGACACCGTCCCACACGATATCCTGGTCTCTAAATTGGAGAGACATGGATTCGACAAACGGACCACTTGGTGGATAAAGAACTGGCTGAAGGTCAGGTGTAAGGTCCTACATCTGGGTCAGGGCAATCCCAAGCACAAATACAGGCTCAGCGGAGAACGGATCAAGAGCAGCCCTGAGGAGAAGGACCTGGGGGTGCTGATAGGTGAGAAGCTCAACATGAGCCAGAAATGAGCGATCGGAGCCCAGAAGGCCAACCGTATCCTGGGCTGCATCAGAAGTGTGGACAGCAGGTCAAAGGAGGTGATTCTGCCCCTCTACTCCACTCTCGTGAGACCCCACCTGGAGTATTGCATCCAGCCTTGGAGTCCCCAACATAAGAAGGACATGGACCTGCTGGAGCCTGTCCAGAGGAGAGCCACGAGGATGATCCAAGGGCTGGAGCACCTCTACTAAGAGGAGAAGGCTGAGAGAGTGGGGCTGTTCAGCCTGGAGAAGAGGAGGCTCCGGGGAGATCTTATTGTGGGCTTCCAGTACCTAAAGGGGACCTACAGGAGAGCTGGGGAAGGACTTTTTACTAGGGCATGTAGTGATACGACGAGGGGGAATGACTTTAAACTGGAAGAGGGCAGGTTTAGATCAAACATTAGGAAGAAGTTTTTCACTTTAAGGGTTGTAAGGTACTTGAACAGGTTGCCCAGAGAGGTTGTTGAGGCCCCATTCCTGGAGGTGTTCAAGGCCAGGCTAGATGTGGCCTTGGGCAACCTGGTCTAGTGGGAGGTGTCCCTGCCTATGGCAGGGGGGGTGGGACTCTATGATCCTCAAAGTCCTTTCCAATATAATCCATTCTATGATTCTGGAAATCCCTTCAGGGAATAAGTTGGAAAACACAGCATTAGTGCTTTCTGTTCAGTTAGCACCAGGTGTTAGAGAGCAATTGCCTATATATAAAAACTGCAAAGCAGGTTCAAAGAATCCTGCTGTTTTCTATTTGCACCCAGTTGCTGGATATCCTTTTGTTCTGCAGAGAGAAGTAGAAAGGGGAGAAGGCAGAGGAGTCGCTTCTCTATGCTGAGCTCGGTTTCATCTTCCTATAGGAACCCTGGAGCCATGCTCCTCATGCCCTGAGACAAATCTCTCGCCATACAGATTAATGTTATCACATAATGTTATCACCTCATCTCATGAGACTGCACTGTCACCATCAGGAAACAAATGATCTAAAATGTGATGTTAGCACTCTACCTTACTACTTGATAAAGAAATATTTTATTACATATTCTGGTATCCATAAATATTTTCATTCTGTTAGAAGAGTGGAAATTACAGAAATGGGCTCTAAAGAGTCAAGTAAAAGGGCAGAAGAGCAAGTGTCACTGTTCAATTGATTTGTGCAACAGAGCAAGTATCATCAGGTATTATGAAAGCAGCTTGGTATCTCTTTATTATTTAAAATATGAGCTGTATGACACAAACTAAAATACCTACCTACAGAGCAATCTTAAATAAACAGCAGCAGCGGAAATAAACCCCGCAACTTGTTCAGACAGTTGCTTCTTGGATAACAGATTAAAGTGACAAGTTGCACAAAATGAATGATCACGTAACTCCTACCTTCCCATCGCTAAGCAGGATTCAAATCCCACCTACTCTAAAATCCAAGGGTTACTTTCAGAGCTGAAAGAAGATTTTTCTGTGTGTCTGAAAACACTGGTTTTACTCAGGTGGTAGAAAAGAGGGTGTTTGCATGATTCTGTACATTTTGCTCAACTTTCAAAGGAAAAAAAGAGTTGACAGAAAAACGTGTCCTCTCCCTGCTGGTTTTCTGTCTGGCTCCCCCAGAGCACCGGCCACCCAGCTGCCAGCCTGCCAGGATGGTGCCATCCTCAAAGCTTTGATGATCGCTGCTCTCAAAGCTCTGCGGCTTGAAAAGATGAGGGGATTTCTCACCTCCACGTATTATTTTCACCCCAATTCAGGATAAAAGCCATTTTCAAAACCTTGGAAGTTTTTTTGATTAGTTAAATTAAGCTTCCTGAAAAATTATGGGCAACTTGTATTGCTTTCCCACCATTTCTAAAGGCTAAGTTTTCAGGCCTCCCTAGTATAAACAGGACTTTTATAAAAGCATGTTTACCTTCTTTACCCTCTTCCTCCTCAAAAAAAATCCTTTAATAGCCTTCCTAAGAAAAGACGCAGAGTACAGGTAGTTTTTTTTATACAGCCAAAATTCAGCAAACCGGCACAGTTGACAAGGCTGCTCAGAACAGGAGCCTACATAGTGCAAGTATCTTTTATTTAAAGACTGCCCATAGCATCAGAGAGAATTCAGATTAGATAGGCAGGGGCAATTTCACAGAAGGACCCACAATGTCTATTCATACATTTCACTAAAACACAGCTGTAACGCCAGATGATGGGAGGGAGTAACTCCTAAGCTCAAGCACAGGCATCTAAGCAAGCTTAAGGTCTCGTGAATGCTTAGAAAAGAACGTACTGAAGAGGGATCATGCTAGCTGAAAGAAGGGATAGCCTGACCTTTCAGTTACATAGCAGCCTTTGACACACACGAAATAACCATACAAAAGGAAGAGTGACTTATATTAGCCACTCAATGAATTTACTTTGTTCTCTCTGGATGGTAAAGCCAGATTGTGCTTTCAATTTGTACTGAAGGCAGATTAAAGAACAAAACAAAAAAAC